GGAGTTGAAGGAGGAGGAGGAGTTAAAGGAGGAGGAGGAGGAAGAGGAGGAGGAGGAGGAAGTCTTGGAGGGGAAGGAGGAAGTACGTATGCATGACGTAGAGGAGCGGACGGAGGAGGCAGGGGATGAGGCGCACCACCTCGGCCGAGGGCCGCCGCTCGACGAAGCGACGACGGCGACGCCGCGCTGCGGCCGGCCGTCGAGGCCTGCGGCGTCGCCGCGGCCGTCGGGTGCGACGCGGGCGCCGCGGGCGTGCCAGAGGAGCCAAGCCCGGGCCACGCCCCCGCCATCCGTGGGCCCGCCTTTGTCGTCGTTCGCCGTCGGCCAGCGTCGTCGTCGTCGCCGGCTGATCTTCGACCACCGACCACACCGCCGTCGTCGTCGTCGTCGTCGTCGTCGTCGTCGTCGTCGTCGTCGTCGTCGTCGTCGTCGTCGTCTTCCCTTCCTTCCTCCCTCGTCGGTCTACTCTCCTTCCCCTCTCTTCCTCTTCCTCCTTCTTCCTCTTCCTTCTGCTCCTCCTCCGCCTCCTCCGTCTTCCCGTCTCTCCACCCCCCAATTCTCCCTGTAGCCGTTTGGGCTGGAGTGGTCTTGTTTGCGCACTCGTATATCGGCCTGGCACTATCGCCCGCACCGCCTTCAGCATGCGGTCAGTTGCAGATCCTCACGGGTGAGTTGCAGATCCTCACAGGACCTTGCCGAGATTCTCGACGCCTGCGACTGACTTTCATCCGGAGGGGCTTCGACAATTACACTGGCCGAAGACCCTCGCCGTCGTGGATTGCTAGGCTCGCAGTTGGCCAAGAACAGCAGTTGATTCTTCCCCTCCAGCCCCCAAATTCCTTATCACCCGAAGGGCGGTCGTATGGGTATGGCGGGACGTGGGAGGAGAGGAACAGAAGCGGGAGGATAAGGGGGAGGCCCCTCCATCCTTCTCTCCCTCCTTCTCGTCCCCCTCCCCCCTCCTTCTCTCCCTCCTCCTCCTCCTCCTCCTCCACAATTACACAATATGAAAATACTCTCCCACTTCCCCTGATGGCGTCCCGAAGATGGCCGACCCCCACCGCGTACTGTTTTTTTACACAGGATTCCCGGGAAACGGGTTTTCGCCTGCGTTTTTTTTCAAAATGCTGCTCTCGCTGAGGCGCCGACCTCATTTCTGCTCCCGAATCGTTCCGAATCGTGCTCCCGCTGCAGCGTGGGCCTCATTTTCGGATCGGTGTTTGGCCTCCGTCGTTCAGGATGGCGTTCTCGCCCCAGCGCGGGCCTCTTTCTCGCGCGCCCATCCGCCCGCCACCACCGCGCCGCACCACCAACCACCACCACCACCACCACCACCACCACCACCACCACCACCACCACCACCACCACAACCACGCACACACGCACGCACGCACGACCAGCACCACCAGCAGCAGCAGCACCAGCACCAGCAGCAGCAGCCACCACCACCAGCAGCAGCAGCACCACCACCACCACCACAACCACGCACACACGCACGCACGCACGCACGCGCACCACCACCCACTAGTCCGCGGATAGAGAAAATCAGCGCCATGGTAAGGGATGGGAGGGAGGGGTAGGACGTCAGATATGACGCGCGCGCACCTAGCTTGTCCCCCTCCCCCTCCCCCTCCCCCTCCTCCTCCTTCTCCTCCTTTTCCTCCTCCTCCTTCTCCTCCTTTTCCTCCTCCTCCTCCTCTTCCTCCTCCGCCCCCTCCCCCCTCCTCCTACACCTCTTGCCTCCTCCCCCGTCATTTCGCCCTCCTTCTCCTTCCGACGGGGGTAAGAGGACGTCCCCCGAGGTCGGGGGCCTCCGGAGGTGTTCCCAGATGTGCCCATGAAGGCACTTCGAGGCCGTTGCCAAGCTTGAGAGTCCCAGTGCAAGAGGACTCGACTTTTGGCCCTCGAGGAGTGCAGTCACCGCGCCACCGCAGGGCACGCTGAACCAGGAACGAAGGGGCTTGTCTGGCCACGGCGAGCCTCGGCCACGAGGGGCCTCCCCGTCGGCCCGAGGCCCGACACGCAGGGCCCCTTTCAGCCTCTTGCTCTTGACTGCAGAGGGAGCAGGGCGGGAAGACGCGCGGAGGAGGGGGGCGCGACGCGCAGCAGGGCCTCATGCAGTTCGCGCCAGCGCAGCCCTACGCCGCGGGGCTCGCCCCGCTCCGCCGCCGCCCGTCCGCTCACCACCCCCAGGGGGAATGTCTGAGGAGGAGGATGCAGATGAGGAGGAGAAGCAGGAGGAGGAGGAGGAGGAGGAGGAGGAGGAGGGGGAGGAGGAGGAGGAATTGCAGGAGCAGAGAGCAGGAGCAGGGGAGGAGGAGGAAGGAGGCGAAGGAGGAGGAGGAGGAGGAGGAGGAGAAGCAGGAGCGGAGGAGATGGAGGAGGAGGAGACGGAGGAGGAGGAGGAGGAGGAGGAGGTGGAGGAGGAGGAGGAGGAGGAGGAGGGAGGAGGAAAAACAGGAAGGAGCAGGAGCAGGAGCAGGAGGAGGAGGAGGAGAGGGAGGAGGAGGAGGAGAAGCAGGAGCAGGAGGAGATGGAGGAGGAGGAATCGGACGGAGTGGGTGAGGAGGAGGAGGAAGAGGAGGAGGAGGAGGAGGAGGAGGAGGAGGGGGAAAAAGCAGGAGCAGGAGCAGGAGCAGGGAGAGGAGGAGGAGGAGGCGAAGGAGGAGGAGGAGGAGAAGCAGGAGCAGGAGGAGAGGAGGAGGAGGAGACGAGGAGGAGGAGGAGGAGGAGGAGGAGGAGGAGGCGGAGGAGGAGGAGGAGGAGGAGGAGGAGGTCAGTAGCCAGGCGAGCGTCGTTTGGGAGGAACCGTGCCGCCCGCAGCGACGTGCGTGTAGGAGGAGGAGGAGACGGAGGAGGAGGAGGAGGAGGAGGGACCAGCCTCTTTTGTTGAGTAGTCGTATGCTGCTGGGTGTTCACGTTAGCTTCAGCTTTCGTGTAATGTTGCCGTCGCGTTTGGCGACCGCTGTGCTGTGCTTCGGGAGGCCCGTCGGTGGCGAAAGTGGCACAGGGCGACGCACACACAGACACACACACAGACACACACAGACACACACAGACACACACAGACACACACACACAGACACACACACACACACAGACACACACAGACACACACAGACACACACACAGACACACACACAGACACACACAGACACACACACACACACGCACACGCCCCCCCCCCCACCACACACACACACACACGCACGCACGCACGCACGCACGCACGCCGCACGCACGCACGCACGCACGCACGCACGTACGCACACACACAACACACACACAACACACACACACCCACACCCACACCCACACCCACACCCACGCCCCACGCCCCACGCCCCACGCCCCACGCCCCACGCGCACGCGGACTCGCACGCGCACGCGCTCGCGCACGCGCACGCGCGCACGCACACGCACACGCACACGCACACGCACACGCACACGCACTCGCGCACGCGCACGCGCACGCGCACGCGCACGCGCACGCGCACGCGCACGCGCACGCGCACGCGCACGCGCACGCGCACGCACACGCGCACGCGCACGCGCACGCGCACGCGCACGCGCACGCGCACGCGCACGCGCACGCGCACGCGCACGCGCACGCGCACGCGCACGCGCACGCGCACGCGCACGCGCACGCGCACGCGCACGCGCACGCGCACACGCGCACGCGCAGACGCGCACGCGCACGCGCACGCGCACGCGCACGCGCACGCGCACGCGCACACGCGCACGCGCACGCGCACGCGCACGCGCACGCGCACGCGCACACGCGCACGCGCACACGCACACGCACTCGCACACGCACACGCACTCGCGCACGCGCACGATCACGCGCACGCGCACGCCCCCCTCCGGGAGTGCGACCCTGCCGAGAGAGAGCGGCGCCGACGTCGCGAGCGCCTCCTGGCAGGGCTGCACCCCCGCACGGGTGCCAGCCTGAGCGGCGCCCCTCGTGGCCTCTAGGGGCCCTGGGGCGGGGTCTCTCTCGGTCGTGCTCGGTCGGCGGTCGGTCTGGGCGGCCCGTGTGGCTGGGGGGTCCCGGGGTCCCGTCGCCTGGGCTGGCACCTGTGCTTGCGTAGGGCTTAGGGCCTAAGCTGCCCGCGCTGGCCCCCCGGCCAACGCGCCTGGGAGTTATCCATCCTTGGCTTTTCGGGAGGCCCTTGTGGCCTGCCACTCGGCCCAAGTGCTGAGTGGCCCTGGCGCCCAAGCGGTGCCGCACGGTGACGCGGGGACACGTTGCCATCTGGCCGAGTCGGCGGGTAGGCCCCACGGGGTCCCCTGCCGTCCTCTTATGGCGTTCCAACACAACACACAGACACACACAGACACACAGACACAGACACAGACACACACACAGAGACACACACAGACACACACACACAGACAGACACACACAGACAGACACACACACAGAAAGGCACACATACAGACAGACACACACACACAGACAGACACACAGACACACACACAGACAACGACACAGACACAGACACAGACACAGACACCGACACAGACATACACAAAGACACACACAGCCACACACACAGACACACACACACATACACACAGACACACAGACACACACACAGAAACACACACACAGACACACGCACAGACACACACACTGACACACACAGACACACACACAGAAGCACACACACAGACACACACACACAAACACACACAGACACACACACACACACATACACACAGACACACACACAGACACACACAGACACACACAGACACACACAGAGACACACATACACAGAGACACACAGACACACACAGACACACACAGACACACACAGACACACACAGACACACACAGACACCCACAGACACACACACACAAACACACAGAAACACACCGACACACAGACACACACAGACACACACACAGACACACACACAGAGACACACACACAGACACACACAGGCACACACACAGAAACACACAGACACACACACAGACACACACACAGACACACACAGACACACACAGACACACACACAGAGGCACACACACAGACACACACACAGACACACACAGACACACACATAGACACGCACAGGCACACACAGACACACATAGACATACGCACAGACACATACACAGACACACACAGAGACACACATAGAGGCACACAGACACACACACAGACACACACAGACACACACACACAGACACACACACAGACACAGACACAGACACACACACACACAGAAACACACACAGAGACACACACAGACACACCCACACAGACACACACAGACACAGACACAGACACACACACACAGAGACACACACAGACAGACACACACAGACAGGCATACACAGACAGACACACAGACACACGCACAGACACACACAGACACAGACACAGACACAAACACAGACACAGACACAGACACAGACACAGGCACAGACACACACAGACACACACACACACAGACACACACACAGACACACACAGACACACACAGACACACACACACACATAGACATACGCACAGACACACACAGACACACACAGAGACACACACAGAGACACACACACAGAGACACACACAGACACACACAGACACACACAGACACACACAGACACACACAAACATACAGGCACACACAGACACACACACAGGGGCACACACAGATACACACAGACACACACAGACACACACAGACACACAGACACACACACAGACACACAGACACAGACACAGACACACACAGACCCACACACACAGACACACACAGACATACATACAGACACAGACACAGACACAGACACAGACACAGACACAGACACAGACACAGACACAGACACAGACACAGACACAGACACACACACACACACATACACACACACACACAGACACACACACAGACACACACACACAGACACACACGCAGACACAGACACACACACACAGAGACGCACACATAGACACACACACACAGACACACACACACACAGACACACACACAGACACACACAGGCACACACACAGACACACACAGACACACACAGAGACCCACACAGACACACACAGACACAGGCACGCACAGACACAAACACACACACAGACACACAGACACAGACACAGACACAGACACAGACACAGACACAGACACAGGCACAGACACAGACACACACACAGACACACACACAGACAGACACAGACACACACACACACATTCACACATACACACAAAGATAGACACAGGCACAAACACAGACACAGAGACACACACAAGCACACGCACACGCACACGCACACGCACACGCACACACACACACACACCTGGAGCGCCGCCCACGTGGCCCCACCCTCTTGCGAAATGGGTGCGTCCGCTCGTCCGTCGAGCTTGTCTGGAACCTGGAGCCAGGAGGCTGGTTCTGGGAGGAGGAGGATTAGGAGGAGGATAAATGAGGAGCAGAGTGAGCCTAAGATGCATCCACGACGCCGCAATATAAGTACTCTCTCGTCCAAAGTATCGCCTTCGTATGTCCCCGAAGGCCATCTTTTTCATTGCAAGAAGCGTCCCGTGCCATCGGGGCGAGAATCCTGTTTTGATAAGGAGCTGTTTTGCATCCTTCGAGTGAGTAAGAAGGAGTGTGGACGAGTACGGCCGTACACTTCAGCGACGTCTCCAACGACGTCTCTGTCATGAGCAAGAGCCGCCTCCCATCAGTGGACTTGTTGTAGACGTTCATGTTGCTGCTCATGCAAACAAGGATTCGCCGTGAGAGTTGAGCTCTCGACGGGGCGATTCTCTCGCTTCGGCGCCACGCAGATTTCGCACGACCGTGGCGTTCCCGCTTCGCCGCGGGGCATCCCATCCACTCGAGGAGGAGGAGGAGGAGGAGGAGTGGGAGGAGGAGGTGGGGGAGGAGGAGGAGGGAGGGGGGGGGAGGGGGAGGGGGAGGGGGAGGAGGAGGAGGGATAGGGGAAGGAGGATCGCTTTTGGGACAGCGCGCGAGCGGGCAACTCGTCGCACCTCGCCCAGGCTCCGTGCGCAGAGTTGTTCGGAGGTGGCGCTCCCGCGCGGGCGCGGCGCGTGCTGCCTGCCCGCCGAGCCGCGTGAACGCAGCAGCGGCAGCTGGGCCTCACGAGGCCAGGCGGAATGCGGTCCTCGCCCAGACGCCATGCAGGAGGAGGGGGAGGAGGAGGAGGAGGAGGAGGAGGAGGAGGAGGAGGAGGAGGAGGAGGAGGAGGAGGAGGAGAACCGCATGAAAGCAGCAGCGGCAGCTGGGCCTCACGAGGCCAGGCGGAATGCGGTCCTCGCCCAGACGCCATGCAGTTTTTATTGCGTGGAAGTGGCGGTGCTGTTTTCGGCGCCGCGGTTGTCGGAATTGTGGCCGCCCGAGAGAGAGAGACGGCGAGCTTGTGCTCCCGTCGCAGTGCAGCGCAAGGATTTCCTGATTCTCCACTCCCGCTTCGGCGCGGCCCGCACAGTGGTCCTTTCGCCAAGTCGTCGGAAGCGGGACCACGCGGGAGCGTTTCCCGCCGGGATGGTGGAGACGCATTCCAATCCAATGACAATTGGATCCACACTTGTTCAAGCACAAATGAAACATAATGGGATGGATGGCGGGAGTTGGCGGCCCCGCTGACTCGTTCAACCTGGCCGACTTGCCTAGCTGGCCGATGGCGATCCGATCGGGCACGCGCAATCCTACCCGTCAAAGGACAGTGCAAGCACGTTTCTGTCTTTCCTTATGGACGTCTTGGCGCCGCGCTGCAAAATGCATGGCAGGCATGCGACGGGGCGCACATCCCGCGCGAAAGAGCGAAGCGTCGACCTCGCTCCGCCACCGCGCCCACCGCTCCCCGCGGGGGAGCGGCGCGCATCTCTCGCTCGGCGAGCCGTCGACGCGCAGGCGCACGCCGACGCCGATGTCGCCCCGCGCCGCCGCGCGGACTCTCCGCCCGGAGGGGGCGCTCTCCCGCCTCGGCGCGTCGCGTGCCCTCCACTCGTGAGGCCCTCGGGGGGTGGTGGGGCCGCGCGCGAGCGGGCCACTCGTAAGTCGGGCTTGTCCCTCTACAGGGGGAATATTCAAAAAGAGTTTTCAAAACATAGTCTGGGGACTATTTTTTTTTAAACCATTTTTGAATATTTTGGGGGGGGGTATTTTGGGGGTATTCTTTATTGTTCGTCCAAAATCCCCCTGTAGGGGGACATGCCCGACCTAAGGCCCCTCGTCGCCCTCGCCCGCGCTCCTGGCGCGCGTCGCTCGGAGGCGGCGGTTTCCCCGCTCGCCGAGCCGCGTGGAGCGCGGCGACCCCTGTCCTCGCCCGGGCGCCGCGCACTCTGCGTGCCCCGGCAGCGGCAGTGCTGCTTCGTCATCGCCGTGCTCGTCGGCGTAAGTCGGGCACGTCCCTCTACAGGAGGAATATTCAAGAATAGTAAAGAAATAGTCTGGGGACAGTCAAAAAATAGTCTGGGGACTTTTCTTTGAATATTTTTTACCATTTAGGAGTATTGTTTGAGTATCTTTTATTCCCCACATGTTTCGTGGGGTTCTGGATTTCTTCCCTGCCGCGGCGCACCCGCGTCTCCTCACCTCCCTCTCCGTCTCTCTCTCTCTCACACACCTCACTCTTCCCCTCCTCCTCACAGCACTGCTCAGCACAGCTCAGCTCAGCTCAGCTCAGCACGGCACAGCTGAGCACAGCTCAGCTCAGCTCAGCTCAACTCAGCACAGCACAGCACAGCACAGCACAGCACAGCACGGCACGGCACAGCACAGCACAGCACAGCTCACCGCACAGCAGCACAGCACAGCACAGCACAGCATAGCACACAGGGCATTCCTTCGACGCCACAGGGGGTGCGCTTGGGGTGGGGGCCATGTGCTGCAGGCCCCCAGGGCGTGGCAGGCGTGGCATTTCCTGGGCGCCACAGGGGGTGCGCTTGGGGTGGGGGCCCTATGCGTTGCAGGCTCGCAGGGCGTGGCAGGCGTGGCATTTCCTCGCCGCCACAGGGGGTGCGCTGGGGGTGTGGGCCCTATGCGTTGCAGGCTCCCAGGGCGTGGCAGGCGTGGCATTTCCTCGCTGCCACAGGGGGTGCGCTCGGGGTGGGGGCCCTATGCGTTGCAGGCTCCCAGGGCGTGGCAGGCGTGGCATTTCCTCGACGCCACAAGGGGTGCGCTGGGGGTGGGGGCCCTATGCGTTGCAGGCTCGCAGGGGCGTGGCAGGCGTGGCATTTCCTCGACGCCACAAGGGGTGCGCTGGGGGTGGGGGCCCTATGCGTTGCAGGGCTCCCAGGGCGTGGCAGGCGTGGCATTTCCTCGCTGCCACAGGGGTGTGCGCTCGGGGTGGGGGCCCTATGCGATGCAGGCTCCCAGGGCGTGGCAGGCGTGGCATTTCCTCGACGCCACAAGGGGTGCGCCGGGGGTGGGGGCCCTATGCGTTGCAGGCTCGCAGGGCGTGGCAGGCGTGGCATGTCCTCGACGCCACAAGGGGTGCGCTGGGGGTGGGGGCCCTACGCGTTGCAGGCTCCCAGGGCGTGGCAGGCGTGGCATTTCCTCGCTGCCACAGGGGGTGCGCTCGGTGTGGGGGCCCTATGCGATGCAGGCTCCCATGGCGTGGCAGGCGTGGCATTTCCTCGACGCCACAAGGGGTGCGCTGGGGGTGGGGGCCCTATGCGTTGCAGGCTCGCAGGGCGTGGCAGGCGTGGCATGTCCTCGGACGCCACAAGGGGTGCGCTTGGGGGTGGGGGCCCTATGCGTTGCAGGCTCGCAGGGCGTGGCAGGCGTGGCATTTCATCGCTGCCACAGGGGTGCGCTGGGGGTGGGGGCCCTATGCGTTGCAGGCTCCCAGGGCGTGGCAGGCGTGGCATTTCCTCGCCGCCACAGGGGGTGCGCTGGGGGTGGGGGCCCTATGCGCTGCAGGCTCCCAGGGCGTGGCAGGCGTGGCATTTCCTCGACGCCACAGGGGGTGCGCTGGGGGTGGGGGCCCTATGCGTTGCAGGCTCCCAGGGCGTGGCAGGCGTGGCATTTCCTCGACGCCACAAGGGGTGCGCTGGGGGTGGGGGCCCTATGCGCTGCAGGCTCCCAGGGCGTGGCAGGCGTGGCATTTCCTCGACGCCACAGGGGGTGCGCTGGGGGTGGGGGCCCTATGCGTTGCAGGCTCCCAGGGCGTGGCAGGCGTGGCATTTCCTCGACGCCACAGGGGGTGCGCTGGGCCCTATGCGTGCAGGCTCCCAGGGCGTGGCAGGCGTGGCAGGGTCCTCGAGAGGGGGTGGAGGAGGAGGAGGAGGAGGAGGAGGAGGAGGAGGAGGAGGAGGAGGAGGAGGAGGAGGAGGAGGAGGAGGAGGAGGAGGAGGAGGAGGAGGAGGAGGAGGAGGAGGAGGAGAAGGAGGAGGAGAGGAGGAGGAGGAGGTGGAGGTGGAGGTGGAGGTGGAGGTGGAGGAGAGGAGGAAGAGGAGGAGGAGGAGGAGGAGGAGGAGGAGGAGGAGAAGGAGGAGGACGGGGAGGTGGGGCAGCAGCAGCGGCAGCAGCAGCAGCAGCAATAGCAGCAGCAGCTGCAGCAGCAGAAGCAGCAGCAGCAGAAGCAGCAGCAGGAGGAGGACACCGAGGAGGAGAAGGAGGAGCAGCAGCAGAAGCACCGATGGTACACATGGGAAATGAAATTTGTATGTGGGGTTCCTCGGTAGCGTAATTTTTCGTCGAAAATCCCCCTGTAGGGGGACGCCCGACCTAATCGTGGGCGTGGACTGTCTGGCCGCCAGGCAGACAGCCGAGCCGCTGAAGAAGGGGAGCAGTTTGGGTTCCGAAGGGGGTCGAGGTTCCTTGCGTCTTCCGCGGCTGCTCCTCTAGCTCCCCCTCGTGCACGCAGGCGCTTCTGGTGCCAGAGAGGGGCTTCGTTCCTCATCTAGCGTTCCTTGTCTCAGGGGCCCGACGGTAGGGCTTCATGTTGCTTGCGCTGCAGCGCCGCGCACCGATTGTCCGAAGTCCCGCTCCCGCCCGTGCGCGGGCCGCGTTGGTCCCCCCTCCCCCCGCCGAGTCGTCGGAAGCGAGGCCGCGCGCGAGCGCCCTCGGCCTGCCAGGTGGCAACGCGTGCCGGTGTCAATATCAGGCTGCACCACCGTTGAATCTGCGCATTCCGGGAGAGAGGGTCGGGCTGGGCGGCGCCCGCTGGCCTGCTCGACCTGGCCGGTGTGGCTCTTTCTCCCTCTGCCTCCCCTCCCCCCCTGGGCCAAGATCTCTCGAACCCCCCCCCCAGTCCTCCACCTCCCCCCTTCCCTGCCGCCCCCGTACCTTGCCCTCGGAGAAACGAAACGCGACACCAGCAACACCAGGAGGGCCATCCCCGGCGAAGAGGTCGGCGATGCCTCTCCGAGCCAGATGTTGGGGGCGGCCGTCAAAAAATGAACAGCTGGACCTGGGGAACGGACCGGGGCTTCCAGGTACCCCGTATTGAAGAACCCAAGACATCGCATCTCTGAGCCCTCCCCCTGGCACACCCCACTCCGCCCCCCCTGTGCTACCTCGAGGGCCCCAACGGTGTGGTGACCACACCGCGTGGTGAGCCAGTGGCGATTCGGGGTCACCGCGCCGACCGGGGCCTCCAGGGCCCGAAGACCGTGTGTGGTGACGGACCGCGTGGTTAGGGCGTTGGGGATTCCGAGGCCACCACGCGGCCCCTCACCACCTGGCTCTGGGGCTCCGGCGCACCCGCCCGTGCGCGGGCGCTCCCCGCCGGCCAGCCACTTCATGGGCCCCGTGCCGGTGGCGGCCGTGGTCCCCTCGTCGCTGGAGGGCGGCCCGGCGGCGGCGTGGGACCAAGGACCCCGCCCCACCCCTCCGCGCCGGCGGCCTCGGTTGGCCAGATCTTCGGCCGGTCGTCGCAGTGTCGTCGTCGTCGTCGCTGCCGCCGCCGCCGTGGTCCTGCCGCCGCTGCCGCCTCAGCCGTCGCGCCGCCGCCCTTGCTGTCACCGTTGTCGTCGCCGCCGCCGCAGCCGCCTTCGCCGTGGCCGCGTCTGCCCTTGTCGTCGTCGTCGCCTTCGCTTTCGCCGTCGTCGTCGTCGTCGTCGTCGTCGTCGTCGTCGTCGTCGTCGTCGTCGTCGTCGATGTCGTCGTTGTCCTCCTCCTCCTTCTCCTCCCCCTCGTCGTTATCCTCGTGTTGTTCCTGCCCTTGCTCCTTATCTTGATACTGCCCCTGCCATTCGTCGTAGCATAGTTTCGGTGCAGTATGGAGTGCGCGATTACACCAGCAAGTTTGCCGGTTCGACCCGTGGTCTCCGCAGGTGGGTGCGCCTTCTATGCGGCACCCCAATTGGCGCCGCAATCCTCCGTCGTGCGACTCGGAATAGCCCCGCTCAAGGGGCAGCGGGTTTATATCGTGTCTCTTGGGCCAGTCTCCTTGTCTCCTGCCCTTGACCGTTTCTCGCGCGTGGCTGGGTCGCTCCTGCTCCCGTAGGAGTGCACGAACCGATGAAAGCCTCCCGTTCCCACTCTCATCACAAACAGAGTGTCGGTGACCTCCCTGCCCAAGCTGCACGCATTTCACTGCAGGCTGCTCCTGCGCCTCCTCCTGCGCACGCTCCTGCTTCTGCTTGCCTTCCTTCCGTGTTGCTGAGTGCCTCCGCTCCCCTCGCGGCCGCCCCGCCCTTGCAGCGACTCCCTCCGCACTCCCCCTCCCCGTCCCTCCCCTGTTTCCCCCTGCCTCCTCGCACTGAGCACGCGGACGAGCGCGAGGAGGACCACGACGACGACGACCCACGACGACCGACGATGGCAGCGGCGGTGGCGACGACCGACGGCGGCGACGACGGCGGTGGCCGCGACGACGGCACCGCGGCTGCGGCATCGGTGACAGCAACGACGCCAACGAGGGCGACGACGACGACGGTACGACGACGGTACGACGACGTTGCGACGACCGACGACGCCAACGCCGGCGGCGGCGGCGGCGCACGATGTGGGCGCCGCGCGGGAAGCGCGGCGCGGAGGTCCCGTGCAGCCCGCGGCGCCCCTGATCCTCAGCACGTCGCCGGCGGGCCGCGGGCGGGAGCCGCCCAAGGCGCCGCGCGGGAACAGCGCCGCCACCGCCTCCGCCGCCGCCGCCGCCGCCGCCGTCGTCGTCGTCGTCGTCGTCGTCGTCGTCGTCGTCGTCGTCGTCGTCGTCGTCGTCGTCGTCGTGGTCGTCGTCGTCTGCCGTTCTTCGTCTCCTTCGTCGTCGTCGCCGTCGCCGTCATCGTCGTCGCCGTCGTCGTCGTCGCCGTCGTCGTCGTCGTCGTCGTCGCCTGTGCTTCCTCAACGTCGCCGTCGACCGTCCTGGTGTTCGCATCCTCTTCTCTTCCTCCTCCTCCTCCCTTGCCGTTCCGTAGCCACGTGAGCTCAAGTCACCATGTCGCCGTGCGGCTTCATGGAGACCTGGGCCGAGGACAGATCCCAAGGCTTGCTGCCACACCGGGACCGCGGCAGTCCATCGCCTTCCCAGCTTCTCCTGCTCACCGTTCTGGCCCTGCAGGCGGCCGTCCCTATTCATTCAGTCTCGTCGAGCAGGGCTCCGAGCTTTCCCCCCTTGCTCGCGGCCGAATGTTCCTTGCTCGTCGAGTGGCACTCCGAGCTTCCATATCCATCGTCCTGGGCTGGTCCAGCGCCAGGCCCACCCCTCACGCCAAGCACGTGCTCTGGGTCCGCTCGGCTTCTCGCCAGTGGCGTGCAGTCGAGCAGCTTCGACTCCTTCATCGAGTCGACACAATGCCGCCCCCCAGAGGTTTCAGTGGTGGCGCCGCTGCCTCCTCAGTCGCCACTCGCCGTCGTCACCAACAATCTCAGCACGCAGCCGCACGCCCAGACCGACGCGACGACCGAGGTGCTCGCCGGGCAGCGGCTCGGGCCACGCTCGAAGCGGCGGAGAGGGTGGACATCTCGAAGCAGGCTCGCTCTACTGGACGCAGTGGAGCTCATGCCCGTCGTCACGACAATACGGGGTCCGGTCGAGCTTCGCCTGACGCCACAAGGAACGCCAACGACCTTTCACAGCATCGTCAGCTCTCTTAGCCAGACTCGCTCGCCCGTGCACTCGCAGACTTCGACTCGGGCAGGTGGGAGAAGCCATCCACGCTTCCCACACAGGGAGCCGCCGCACCCGCCGACGCTGCTCAGCCGCCTCCTCGCCCTGCAGCACATGATCCTTTCGCTGGAGCAGGTGGCCCATGGAGACCCGCACATCGCGAAGCTATCCGATCTGCAGATGGTACCACCATGGAATAAAATAGTCCTACACCCCAAGGTGCTCAAGCTGGAAAGTGTCACATCCACGGCATCTCCGCGGAGCTCGAAGCTTCACTTCGTCGACTCATGCATGAACAGGTCAGCCTCGTCACCGCCACGTTCCAGAACCAGGCCAACGACCTCCTCGAGCTATCCAGGCATGACCTTAGCCGCCTTCTTCAGCAACAAGTAGTTCAACCAGAACGACGGGTGAACGCCCTTCACGACGCTGTTGCTTGCACCCGACGTGAACAAGACCGCCAAATTGATGAACACCGCTGCGTGTGAACGCACATCGACCAGATGCGGGATACCCTCGAGCTGGCCGAGACCCAGATTCGGTTTCCGCGACCTTGTAGCGTGCGCCCGAGGTGCGGGGGCTGGAGGAGGAGGAAGAGGAGGAGGAGGAGGAGGAGGAGGAGGAGGAGGAGGAGGAGGAGGAGGAGGAGGAGGAGGAGGAGGGAGGAGGTGGAGGAGGAGGAGGAGGAGGAGGAGGAGGAGGAGGAGGAGGAGGAGGAGGAGGAGGGAGAGGACGAGTAGTAGGATGAGGCGTTGGAAAGAGGGAGGATGGGGAGAGGGAGGCGGGAGAGGAGGGGGGGAGGGGGAGGCAGGGAACGGGAGGAGCAGGCGCAGGACGAGGAGGGAGGCGGCAGGGCGTGGCCGGCAGGCGAGCCCAGCGCAGCAGCACCCGCAGAGGCAGCAGCGCCCGCAGCAGCACCACGGGCGCGGCAGGGCCCGCAGCCCCAGGGACGCGGCTCGCCACCGACGGCGACGGCGACGGCGACGGCGGCGGCGGCGGCGGCGACGAGGAGGAGGAGGAGGAGAAGCAGGAGGAGGAGGAGGAGGAGGAGGAGGAGGAGGAGGAGGAGGAGGAGGAGGAGGAGGAGGAGGAGTAGGAGGAGGAGGAGGCCAGCCTGTGTGGGGACAGCGGACGACGCCGACGGCTGGCGGACGGCGACGCCCACGGCTGGCGATCGGCGAAAGCCGACGGACGGCGCAGGACGGACGACGGTGGGCGACGACGCCGACGTCGGTCCGAGTTTCGGATGCCGTGCGTGTTCTTGTGCTCCTGTCTTGGCTGGGGCCTCGTCGCCACGGCTTGACCCGCCAGGAGAGATCCGGCCACGGCAGCCCCAGGGGCCCATTCCTTCCAGGGGCGACGACGACGGCGACGGCGACAGAGTCGGCGTTCGACTCCTCGGCTTCATCGAAACAGCTTGTCGGCGGCACACAGGCGGGCCGGCCACGGCAGTCCCAGGCGCCGAGTCTTCCCAGGGGCGACGGCGACGGCGGCGGCGGCGGCGACGACGACGAGGAGGAGGAGGAGGAGGAGGAGAAGCAGGAGGAGGAGGAGGAGGAGAAGCAGGAGGAGGAGGAGGAGGAAGAGGAGGAGGAGGAGGAGGAGGAGGAGGAGGGGGAGGAGGAGGAGGCCAGCGGCTTTCTTGAAAGAGCTTGTCGGCGGCACGCAGAGGCGGGGCGCAGGGCCTGGGCGCGGGGGGCGGCACTGTGAGAAGGCCCCCTTTCGATGCTCCGCCGGTCCTCTCCTTTCGTGCCCTCGACTCGCTCACTGTTCGGCCCCTCGTCGGTCCCCATCTCGAGCAGTGGCGAAGCGTCCTGGCTTGCCCATGGGCCCAGCAAAGATTGTTCTGAGAACCTGTTGTGGTCTGCACGAACGGTTCTCAGAACATCTCTTGCTGAGGCTGTCTTGATTTGACACATCGGGCTTACGTTCCAAGACGCTTGTTTTGGTCATTCGCACATGTTTGGGTCCGAGGAACATGTCGTGGTAGGCCTATAAGAATGTCGGGACTGTCGGTCCCTGCTCAACCATTCGTTGCTTGTGAGGCTTGTCCTTGCAGGGAGGTGTGGCTGGTCCAGTCAGGGCCCTGCAAGCGGCCCTGGAGGCCAAGAGTTGTCCAAAGACTCGTGTTCTTCTCGCGACGCGAGGGGTCCTGGGCTGGATGGCATCCGCAGTGATTGACCCGTCGGCCGCGGAGTGAAAGTGCGCCAGTGACGGGGCGACCGGGCGGGGCGACGGTCATCCTCGTCTAATTGATCCCCATGCCAATTGGGCCATGATATCTTAGCCCATCGAGGCCACCTGCCCCAGGTGGGGATGGGTCCTGCGAAAGCCGAAGGGAGCACCAGGTATCCCCACCTATGCGTGGTAGGTCGGCCAGTGCAGCCAAGGCCATGCCAGTGGGGATGTAGATGCCCGATGGGCCACCCCGCGCGGATTCGCTCTCAGGGGCCAGTCGCCCATCAACCGGCTATACATATATATATATATATGTGTGTGTGTGCATGTAGGATAGGTGTGTACACATGTGTATATGTCAGTATGTATTATGCATACATGTGTGTATGTATGTATGCATGCGTGCATGCATGCATTCATGTATGAAAGAGCGCGTTCTGTGGTCGCTTGGAGGGGGGGGGGTGGAACTGGACCCCCACCCTGGATGGAGGGGGTGGGGGGGGGTTCGCCCCCCCCCTCCCCCCCCCTCCCGTGACGGAGTGGGGGGGCTTTCAATCCCCCCCCCAACCCCCCCCTCCACCCCCTGCTTCCCTCTCCTCGGGCCGGCGCTTGCGTCGGCGGCGGCTGGCGACGGCGGCGGGGACGACGATTTCCATTTCTGGGCCGGCGCCGGCGCCTGCGGCAGCGGGCGGCGGTGGCGGGGAGCGTCGACGATGATGACGGTGGTGGTGGTGGTGGGTTGTGGTGGTGGTGGTGGTGGCGGTGGTGGTTGTGGTGGTGGTGGTGGTGTGGTTTGTTGTGGTGGTGGTGGTTGTGGTGGTGGGTGGTGGAAGTAGTGGTTTGGTGGTGGTGTGGTGGTGGTTGGTGGTGGTGGTGGTGGGTTGTTGTTGTGGCGGTGGTTTGTGGAGGTGGTGCCGGTGGTGGTGGTGGTGGCGGTGGTTGTGGTGCTGGTGTGGTGGTTTGTGGTGGTGGTGGTGGGTTGTGTGCTGCTGGTAGTGTTGGTGGTTGTGGCGGTGGTGGTGGTGGTGGTGGTGGTATGGTTTTTGGTTTGGTGGTGGTGGTGGTGATGGTGAGTTGTGGTGATGGTGTTGTGGTGGGGTGGTGGTGGTGTGGTGGTGGTGGTGGTGGTTTGTGGCGGTGGTGGTGGTGCTGGGTTGTGGTGGTGGCGGTGGTTTGTGGACGCGGTGCTGGTGTTGGTGCTGGTGTTGGTGGTGGTGGTGGCGGTGGTGGTGGTGTCGTGGTTTGTGGTGGTGGCGGTGGGTTGTGCTGCTGGTAGTGGTGGTGGTTGTGGCGGTGGTGGTGGTGGTGGTGGTGTGGTAGATTGTGTGGTGGTGGTTTGGTGGGTTTGGGGTGCAAAGGGGGCCAGGTGTTTTTTTTTGTGTTTCGTTTTTCAGCTCCAGACTGGATGAGTAGACAGGCTTCCGGCTCTCGGAGGGTTTCATGCTTCTCACTCTCTCTCTCACTCTCCCTCCCTCTCTCTCTGTCTCCATCTCTCTCTCTCTCTCTCTCTCCCTCTCTGCGGCGCCTACATATCGATTCCCTTTGTGGCGGTTGCGGTGGAATTGCAAATTGAGCCCCTTTGTGGCGGAGGAGGGGAGGGTCTGGCCGTCCTGGGGAAAGGTCCAAGCAAACAAAAAAACGGCCCCCCGAATCCACTGCTCCAGTTTTTTGGGGGGGCCCGCCCGAAAAAAACAGCAAAAATAACGGGACCTTTCCCTCAGGGCCCAGCCCGTTGAGGCAGCTGGCAGCGCCAGAGTCCGTCGGCAGCACCTCCTCCTTCTGCCCTGCTCCGAGGGCCCTGGGCGAGGCGGCAAGCCCGTGAGCGTCGGCGGCACCTCGTCCGCCTCGTCCCCTGTCCCCCAGGACGGAGGAGGTGGTCCCCTTCCCTTCGGTTTCCCCTAAGAAGGAAGACGGGGATGTTCCTTCACTTACCTTTCCCCCCGGGCAGAGGAGGAGGAGGAGGAGGAGGAGGAGGAGGAGGAGGAGGAGGAGGAGGAGGAGGAGGTTACTTCCCATCCCTTTCCTTCAGAAGGAGAAGGCGGATGAGGAGGGGGAGGAGGTTCCTTCCCTTCCTTTTCTTTGCCTCGGGGAAGAAGAGAAAAAGGTCACTTTCCTGCCCTTTGCCGTCAGGAGGGCGAGGAAGAGGAGGAGGAGGGGTAGGTTCATTTCCTTCTTTTCCCTCAGGAAGGAGGATGAGGATGAGGCTCCTTCCCTTCCCTTTCCCTTGGGGGGAGGAGGGGAGGAGACGGAGGATAATCCTTCTTTTTCCCTCGGGAAGATAAAGGAGGTCCCCTTCCCTCCCCTGCCCCCCAAGAAGGAGGAGGAGGGGGAGGAGGAAGGGGAGGAGGAGGCTCATTCGCTTCCTGTTCCCTCAGAGGGAAGAGGCGAAGGAGGAGGCTCATTCCCTTCCTGTTTCTTCAGGAAGTAGGAGGAGGAAATTCCTCCCCTTCCCTGAGGAAGGAGGCGGATGATGATGGGAGGAGGGGGAGGAGGTTCTTTCCCGCCCCGTGCCTTCAGGACGGAGAAGGAGGAGGTTCCTTGTCCTTTCTCTCGAGCAGGAGGACGAGGACGAGGTTCATTCCCTGCCCTTTCCTTCCGGAGGCACGAGAATGATGAGGAGGCCCCTCTTCTCTTGTCCATCAGAGAGGTGAGGGGAAGGTCCCGCCCCATCCTCTTCCTTCAGGAAGGAGGCGGCGGAGTAGGTACCTTCCCTTCCCCCCAGGACAGGGAGGAGGATGTCCCTTCTTTTCCTTGCCCTTCAGGACAGAGGATGAGGTTTCTTCCCTTCCCTTTCCCTTCGAAGTAGGGGGAGGGGGAAGAAGTTCCTTTCCTTCCCGTTCCCTCAGGGAGGACGGGGGACAGGTTCTCTTTCTGCCCATATCCAATTGCAGGATGAGGAAGAGGAGGGGGAGGACGAACAAACCCATTCCCTTCTTTTCCCTCCGAAAAAGAGGCTGAGGATGCGGTTCCTTCCCTTCCGTTTCCCTCAGGAGGGGGAGGGGGAGGAGACGGATAAGAATCCTTCCGTTTCCCTGAGGAAGATAAAGGAGGAGGTCCCTTTCCCTTCCTTGCCCCCCCCCCCAGGAAGGAGGAAAAGGAAAAGGCTTATTCGCTTCCCTTTCCGTCGGAGGGAAGGACAAAAGGAGGAGGCTCATTCTCTTCCTGTTCCCTCAGGAAGGAGGAGGAGGAGGAGGAGGAGGACATTTTTTCGGATGGAGGAGGAGGAGGAGGTTCTTTTCCGTCCCTTCCCTTCCTTCAGGAAGGAGGCGTGTGAGGAGGACAAGAAGAGGTTCCTTCCCTTCCCTTCCGTTACCTTCGGGACGGAAAAGGAGGAGGTTCATTCCTTGTCCTTTCCCCCGCGAAGGAGGACGAGGGAGAGGTTCATTCCTTTCCCTTTCCCTTAGGAGGGTGGGTGGGGGGGGGGGGGGGGGGGCGAATGGGGAGGATGCGTCCCTTTCCCTTTCCTTCACGAGGAAGGGGAGGAGGAGGAGGAAGAGGAGGAGGATGAGGATGAAGAGGGGGATGAGGAGGATGGGGGGGAGGTTGGGGAACAGGAGGAGGAGGATGAGGAGGAGGAGGAGGAGGAAGAGGAGGAGGAGGAGGAGGAGAAAGTATATTCTCTTCCCTTTCCCTCATGAGAATGAGAAAGAGGATCCGTCCGTTTCCTTCCCTGAGGAAGGGGGAGGACAACGATGTGAGGAACGAGCGAATTACGCCATACACGACCTTAACATCCACCGGGGCCCTTTGCACCCCGAGCGTTTGGTGGTGTAGTG